ATTTCTGGCATAAAACCCACTTGGTCATTGTGTATTATTCTTTTCATAAACTGCTGGATTTTATTTACCTAAATTTTGTTGATAATTTTTGTGTCAGTGTTCACAGGGGATACTGCTCTGTAGTTTTCTTGTAATGTCTTTGTCTGACTTTGGTATCAGAGTTATGTTGGCTTTATGAAATAGGAGTTAGCAAGTGTTCTTTTCTTTTCTATTTTCTGATAGAGTTTGTGCAAGATTTGTATTATTTATTCCTTAAATGATTGGTTGAATCTGTGATTAAAGCTACCTGGGCCTGGTTTTTCTTTGTTAGCAGCATTGTGTTCTGATGAGGATTTCAGGGCTTTAGAATCAAGCAACTCTATAGCAGTGCGCTGTGTCAGTGTTCACAGGGGATACTGCTCTGTAGTTTTCTTGTAATGTCTTTGTCTGACTTTGGTATCAGAGTTATGTTGGCTTTATGAAATAGGAGTTAGCAAGTGTTCTTTTCTTTTCTATTTTCTGATAGAGTTTGTGCAAGATTTGTATTATTTATTCCTTAAATGATTGGTTGAATCTGTGATTAAAGCTACCTGGGCCTGGTTTTTCTTTGTTAGCAGCATTGTGTTCTGATGAGGATTTCAGGGCTTTAGAATCAAGCAACTCTAGATTCAGATCTGACTCTGTTGATTTCTCCCTGTGAGACATAGGGCAAGTTAGTCATTCTTTATGAGCCTCAGTTTCCTCATCTATAAAATGAGTGGTTGTGAAGATTAAATAATAATAAACACCAATTGTTTAGTACTATAATACATATAAATGTATATATACATTATACTATACTATTTATTACCATACTATATTATAATACTTATTTTACAGATAAGAGAGCTACTGCAAAGGGAGATTAAATAACTTGCCCAGAGTTACTCAGGTTGCACATGATGCAGCCAGAAGTTGAATTGAGGCTGTCTAGATCCAGAGTCCTGGCTTTTAAGCACTAAACTACACTAAGTAGACTAAAACCTATCTTTCAGTGTTGCTCTGAGTATTAAATGAAGCAATTCATATAAACAGCTAAATTTGTGCTAATACGAGGTTGTGCTTTAGTAAATATGCATTATTATTAATAATGTGAATTTTTATTATTTTGGAGGGAAACTAGTTTGGAATATTTTCAACCCGAAAGGCATTTTAGTATATATAAATAATGAATTACTCTTTAAAGTTGATTGCAGTGAAATTCTGTAGACATTTGCTACACTTTACAAAGTGATATTGTGAACATCAAACCTTGTTAGGAATAACAACTTGAAATCTCACCCCGGTTCAGCACTGTCTTTTTGTGCAGTCCTGGCAATTAAACCTCTTGTAATGTTGGAGAATCTGTATAATGAGGATAAGAAGGATATCTATTTTGAGTACTTTGCCTTAAGTTATTGAGTGATTTAAAAAAGAGAGGTATCTGAAGGTGCTTTGAAAAGTACATCTAGTTCTAATATGTAATATAAATATTTGGTGTTTTAATTAGAATCCTTTGTTGATATGTAAACATTTTGAGATGATTTTGAACATCGTGTTTTCTGTGACTTACAAATAGATGCCATTTAATTTTAGGTTTTCAGATTTTCATGTGGTTATTCAGATGAGGTTGGCCTTTCTCTTGGCCAGATGAGGTAATAACTATCATATGCCAAAATGTTAGATTCATCCTATTTATTTGAAAATTACAAAGTGTAATCACAAGTTTAATAAGTACTTTACCCTAAGTTTTAGTCAGAAAGATGTATTTTAGCATTTTTAAAAAAATGTTAAGCCTTATTATGTCAAAACATATAACATGATGGCATAACGTATGTATGGTGTTAATTAAGGCTTGGAGTGGTGTGGAAGATTGGCATCTGGGGCATTTTGTTGGAGGGTTAAAAAAAACCCATTCTGTTCTGAAGTGTAATAGTTATTGTGAAAAATGTCAAAAGCTAAAGAACAATGCTAATTCTTGGAAAATATAATAACATACTGCTTTCTTTTGTGAATTGTAGCTGACTTTGGCCTGGCAAATGTGTGTGTGTGTGTGTGTGAAAGAGAGGATCTATAGAGTAGGTAGAAAAAAATTTAAAACATGACAACTACTTTCCTTTATTAGCCCAAAGACACATTTTCCTTTAATTTTTAAATTAACCAAAGAGTTAGTAAAGCTGAACCTGCTGATATAGATAAGCTATTATTTCATGTAGGTATATCATGATTGTTTTAGTAACATGGACAATATATCTTATTACCATTAATCTTTCTACTAAGCTTTTGTTCTTTTAAATTGCTTTAAAAAACTCCTTTCTACTACTTCCTTCTCTCATCTCCCCTCTCTCACAGTTGTTAGAAATGCTCCGTGTGGGTTTTACTATGAAGTTGGGCTCACAAACCAGCTTTCTTCCTTGTTTTTGATGTCTTCAACTCAGCACAGAGTTAAAAGAACTCAGTCCTAAACTACATTTCATTATTTTCTTAGTCTGAGATTCTCCAAAAATCAGACCTTGAGATAGGGATTCAAGTGAAATAGTTCATTTGGGATGTGGTCCCAGGAAACACTGGTAGAGGAGTGGGGGAGTGAGAACTTATAAATTGAAATGGTCCTTGACACATAGTAGGTGTGTAAGAGTTGTTGAATAAATCTATGAATGAACTAGTAGATATGCTACCCAATGTGACACTTGGAACGTTTTATTGCATCTACTTGTATGTATGACTCTTTCTCTTTTATAGCTATAAACATTCAAGGGCAGGGAAAGGATTTTTGTGTCCTATTACCTATCCCAGTACTTTGCAAATAACAGGTATTGAATAAATTTTATTGTGTGAATGAATAAATGATGACAGATGCAGTACAATTAGATATATGTTTACAAAGTAGGTTGCTTCTTCAGTAAATGAGTGTTTGTATTTTGATTAATTGAGGCACTTGTAATGTCTTTAGCATATTTTGAGGGTTCCTTTGCAAGCCATTAATTATTATGAAGTGAGAATCTTCTTTTGCTAATCATATATTTTTTGTTGAATCTGTTGAAATTAGCAAACTAATATGGCAGTAAGTAGAAAAGAAGATTTTGGGGAAATATTCTGATATCTAATACAACAGGTCAAGCAATCAAGATACTTCCATTTTCTTTCTTAAGCTAGCCTATTGTTGTACAATTGAGTCCTGGGGATAAAATTGAAAATGAATCTTCTTGAAGCAGGGTGGAAATTTTCTGGGAATAACAGCTCCATTTTACAAAGTCCTTTCATACAAGAGTGTTCAGAACAGAGTTTTTAGAGGTGACTTTCACTTATTTTACTGAAAACTAGTTTACATCTTTATTCTTGAAACTAGCTTTACGATAAATTGCAAAGAGATTGGTGGCCAGGCTAAAATTGTACCTTGAAAACTGCAAGTTTGTCTGTATACCTAAACTCTTAACAATAAGACTAGTCAACCCATTACTTGCTACTAGAAGATATATTTTCTTTTGTTTTACTTTGCACTATTTTTCAGAAATAATGAAAATTTGATCACAAAAGTGTTAAGTAACCATATATTCCTGAACAGATTTGATTGTTGATCAAAATTACAGCACAAATAAAATACCAACTTAAATTTCAGTTGGTCATACTTGGTATAATCAGATTTTTATACCCAAGATTGTGAATTAAATTTAGAATTGCTAATATGGTAGTATCAACTCTGTCTTTGTGTGTGTGTGTGTGTGTGAAAGAGAGGATCTATAGAGTAGGTAGAAAAAAATTTAAAACATGACAACTACTTTCCTTTATTAGCCCAAAGACACATTTTCCTTTAATTTTTAAATTAACCAAAGAGTTAGTAAAGCTGAACCTGCTGATATAGATAAGCTATTATTTCATGTAGGTATATCATGATTGTTTTAGTAACATGGACAATATATCTTATTACCATTAATCTTTCTACTAAGCTTTTGTTCTTTTAAATTGCTTTAAAAAACTCCTCTCTACTACTTCCTTCTCTCATCTCCCCTCTCTCACAGTTGTTAGAAATGCTCCGTGTGGGTTTTACTATGAAGTTGGGCTCACAAACCAGCTTTCTTCCTCGTTTTTGATGTCTTCAACTGAGCACGGAGTTAAAAGAACTCAGTCCTAAACTACATTTCATTATTTTCTTAGTCTTGAGATTCTCCAAAAATCAGACCTTGAGACAGGGATTCAAGTGAAATAGTTCATTTGGGATGTGGTCCCAGGAAACACTGGTAGAGGAGTGNAAACCTTGTTAGGAATAACAACTTGAAATCTCACCCCGGTTCAGCACTGTCTTTTTGTGCAATCCTGGCAATTAAACCTCTTGTAATGTTGGAGAATCTGTATAATGAGGATAAGAAGGATATCTATTTTGAGTACTTTGCCCTAAGTTATTGAGTGATTTAAAAAAGAGAGGTATCTGAAGGTGCTTTGAAAAGTACATCTAGTTCTAATATGTAATATAAATATTTGGTGTTTTAATTAGAATCCTTTGTTGATATGTAAACATTTTGAGATGATTTTGAACATCGTGTTTTCTGTGACTTACAAATAGATGCCATTTAATTTTAGGTTTTCAGATTTTCATGTGGTTATTCAGATGAGGTTGGCCTTTCTCTTGGCCAGATGAGGTAATAACTATCATATGCCAAAATGTTAGATTCATCCTATTTATTTGAAAATTACAAAGTGTAATCACAAGTTTAATAAGTACTTTACCCTAAGTTTTAGTCAGAAAGATGTATTTTAGCATTTTTAAAAAAATGTTAAGCCTTATTATGTCAAAACATATAACATGATGGCATAACGTATGTATGGTGTTAATTAAGGCTTGGAGTGGTGTGGAAGATTGGCATCTGGGGCATTTTGTTGGAGGGTTAAAAAAAACCCATTCTGTTCTGAAGTGTAATAGTTATTGTGAAAAATGTCAAAAGCTAAAGAACAATGCTAATTCTTGGAAAATATAATAACATACTGCTTTCTTTTGTGAATTGTAGCTGACTTTGGCCTGGCAAAGCAAAAACAAGAAAACAGTAAACTCACGTCTGTTGTTGGAACAATCCTGTATTCTTGGTAAGAACAATTATTTCATGGCTGTCAAACATCATGTGTAACTGGTATAGAGTTTAATTTCTATTCTTGGCTTGCAAAGGAAAGAGAATTTTAGGAAAGAAAGCTTATTTTAATAAGTTTTCCTCAATTACCTAGGTAATACACATGAATAGAATTATAGATCACTATGTGTGTTTAAAGCAACAACCGCAAAAAAAATCTTTCTTCTAGGGTAGCTCTGCCCCTCATGGTGACTATTTTAACTTATAAATTGAAATGGTCCTTGACACATAGTAGGTGTGTAAGAGTTGTTGAATAAATCTATGAATGAACTAGTAGATATGCTACCCAATGTGACACTTGGAACGTTTTATTGCATCTACTTGTATGTATGACTCTTTCTCTTTTATAGCTATAAACATTCAAGGGCAGGGAAAGGATTTTTGTGTCCTATTACCTATCCCAGTACTTTGCAAATAACAGGTATTGAATAAATTTTATTGTGTGAATGAATAAATGATGACAGATGCAGTACAATTAGATATATGTTTACAAAGTAGGTTGCTTCTTCAGTAAATGAGTGTTTGTATTTTGATTAATTGAGGCACTTGTAATGTCTTTAGCATATTTTGAGGGTTCCTTTGCAAGCCATTAATTATTATGAAGTGAGAATCTTCTTTTGCTAATCATATATTTTTTGTTGAATCTGTTGAAATTAGCAAACTAATATGGCAGTAAGTAGAAAAGCAGATTTTGGGGAAATATTCTGATATCTAATACAACAGGTCAAGCAATCAAGATACTTCCATTTTCTTTCTTAAGCTAGCCTATTGTTGTACAATTGAGTCCTGGGGATAAAATTGAAAATGAATCTTCTTGAAGCAGGGTGGAAATTTTCTGGGAATAACAGCTCCATTTTACAAAGTCCTTTCATACAAGAGTGTTCAGAACAGAGTTTTTAGAGGTGACTTTCACTTATTTTACTGAAAACTAGTTTACATCTTTATTCTTGAAACTAGCTTTATGATAAGGTGCAAAGAGATTGGTGGCCAGGCTAAAATTGTACCTTGAAAACTGCAAGTTTGTCTATATACCTAAACTCTTAACAATAAGACTAGTCAACCCATTACTTGCTACTAGAAGATATATTTTCTTTTGTTTTACTTTGCACTATTTTTCAGAAATAATGAAAATTTGATCACAAAAGTGTTAAGTAACCATATATTCCTGAACAGATTTGATTGTTGATCAAAATTACAGCACAAATAAAATACCAACTTAAATTTCAGTTGGTCATACTTGGTATAATCAGATTTTTATACCCAAGATTGTGAATTAAATTTAGAATTGCTAATATGGTAGTATCAACTCTGTCTTTGTGTGTGTGTGTGTGTGTGAAAGAGAGGATCGATAGAGTAGGTAGAAAAAAATTTAAAACATGACAACTACTTTCCTTTATTAGCCCAAAGACACATTTACCTTTAATTTTTAAATTAACCGAAGAGTTAGTAAAGCTGAACCTGCTGATATAGATAAGCTATTATTTCCATGATTGTTTTAGTAACATGGACAATATATCTTATTACCATTAATCTTTCTACTAAGCTTTTTTTCTTTTAAATTGCTTTAAAAAACTCCTCTCTACTACTTCCTTCTCTCATCTCCCCTCTCTCACAGTTGTTAGAAATGCTCCGTGTGGGTTTTACTATGAAGTTGGGCTCACAAACCAGCTTTCTTCCTTGTTTTTGATGTCTTCAACTCAGCACAGAGTTAAAAGAACTCAGTCCTAAACTACATTTCATTATTTTCTTAGTCTGAGATTCTCCAAAAATCAGACCTTGAGATAGGGATTCAAGTGAAATAGTTCATTTGGGATGTGGTCCCAGGAAACACTGGTAGAGGAGTGGGGGAGTGAGACAGAGAAGGGAGGCCAGTACAGTGAATAAATAATCAGGCTCATAGAGTCTTATCTGTGATATAGTGTAGGAGATGTCTTAGAGTTGTCCTATATGCTCGATGAGAGGTTGGCGTATTTTTTCCCCAAGTGGGAGCCCTCAGCATTTGACTGAGGGCTGGCCTGGGAGGCTGGTGGCCCAGGCACTTCTGGGAGAAAGCCCTCAGGCCAAGAGTCAGAACTGCTTGATGCCGGAGACTTGCACTGCAAATGAGAGTTGGAGGGGACCTGGCCAGGGTCCTGATATTTCAGCTGTGTAATTTCTCAAGTCCTAATTGTTATGAATTTAAGATGCATCATAATAAATTGTTTGATATATCTAGTTTCTCATGAATTTTCTAAATCCTCATTTTGGTGTTTTCTCTGAGTTTTGTAAATTGGACAAAAATAAAACAGCTATCTTTCATAGTCACCAATTGTTCTGTGTCTCACAACTCATGCCTTTTCTTTAATTGTCTCTTTACCCTAGGGTATTTCCCTCCTAGTTCTGTAATTTTTGTGTAATCCTCCTGAGCTTCTCTGAGACTACATATGTGGATCTTGAATGCACAGGGAACCTCTGTCCCCGCCCTCCAGGGTCCCCAGAGTTTGATGAGTTTGATGTTGCCATGTCATTTTGCCCTTTCATTTTGCTTCCTCAGATATTAATTTATTTAATGGGAGAAAGTTCTCTTTATCAACTCCTATAGGAATGCCTCAGAGTATTCTTTATTCTGTATTCAGTGCCACATAAGAGGTTTGTGGGTGCATAGCTGGACTGATTGTGATGGAACAGAAGGTCAAGAAAAGCTCCTTTTCTTAATCTGATTTGATTGATTATTAGGCAGGTCCTTTGCTGTCCTTCTCAAGGTAAATCATCTCCAAATATGGTCCTTGTTTCTGTTTTTGATCTCTGTGTCTTATTCCACTTCCAAAGAACAAAACTGCACACAATTTTCGGCTGCATTTTCAGAGCAGACTATAGCATTTGAGGCTCTGGGAAACACTTTAAGCTAGTTCTTTGCAGAACATATATTTGAGATTTAATAAGCAAGTATGATGTAATAAAAATGCAAAACTTTGACTATTACTGAGATGGGAATTCATTGAGTTTCTATTGTTTCATATGATCCCATTCATATTACAACATTACATAATTAGGAGAGAAGCTGGTGAAGTTTTTATTGGATAGATCAAAATAAACCCATAGGTAAACCCAGGCAAGTAGAGACAAAGTGGAGCATGCCCAACTATTGACTGTAACTCTTAAGTTCTTAAGAAAGCTGTAATACGCCCAGAACTCTAAAAAAATTTAATGACTTAAAATACTTGAGTGACTTCTAATTGCTCATGTAAAGACCAAGCCTCAGTATGGTTACCAGCACACAACACTGCATGCTCTGGCCTCTTCCAGGTTCTCCAGTTTTATTTCACACCAGACTTTAGTAATTCCTAACTGCTCCATGTGGGCTCCCTCTGACCACAGGACCTTTGCATATGCTGGGATACTATTTTGTATAGCTGGAATACTATTTTTCCACTTGTCATATGATTAACTCTTACTCAACCTTCAGTTGTCAGTTAGAATTTGGCCTCCTCAGGTGAATCCCCCTAGATAATGCATATTTCCTCTGGTCTCCATACTCCATGCACTTTTCTTTCACACGGTTGAATTTTTCTTTTAGTGATAGGCCATTATAGTTTTTCACCACTGTCCCCAGCACTGAGCCCAGAGTCTGGTACTTTATAGACTCACAAGATATATTTGCTACATGAATGATCCATTATTTGCATGATTATGAACAGTACCCAAAGCAATGTACTGTAAAGAAAATTGTTCCTTTTTATTACAACAAATTTTTCACTCCCCCTTGCTGTTCCTTCAGATGTCCAAAATTTTCCTCCCTAGAAAGCTCTTCCTCCAGATAGCTGTAGAGTTTACTTCCTTACTTCATTCTGGTCTCTGCTTAAATGTCACTTCTGGTGGAGAGGTTTTCCCTGAAAACCTGCCCAAAATAGCAACCTCCCTTCAGACTCTATCCTCTTATCCTGATTTAGTTTTTCATAGCCCTTGCTGCTGCCTGACCTTGTATTGAATTTGAATTGGTTTATCATGTGCCTCCCTGACTACAGCACAAGCTCCATGAGTGTAGGACTTTTGTTTCCTCTGTTCATCATGTTTGCCCAGGGCCTAGAAAAGCAGACAGGCAGAATCTCAATAAATATTTTGAATAATTAAAGACAAAATAAGTCATTCTGCATTTGAATGTGATTAAAAATCAGTGTGCATTTTTATTGTGCTCTAAGATACTAACATATCTTTGAACCTTTTGTACTTTTGTCCCAGTGAAGCCTGAAGCAAATGTGTTTAGTTTGAGACAGTATGTACCTTGAGGTCAGGATCTATTTTATTTATTTGTTTATTTATTTATTTAATCTTCATATCTTCCATATTTACCATTGGCCCTGAGGGAAATTGCAAAATAGGAATTTTCAAAAACAAGAGCATAATTGGGATAAGAACATATATTGATTAGCTGGTAAGTAGAACATTACTAAGAGCTCAAGCTCTGGAATCAGATTGCCTGGTTTAAATCCTAGTCTGCCATTGAGTGTAATAAATGATTGAACATCTCCGTGCCTCATTTTCCTCATCTGTTAGGGGGATAATAATAATAATGCCCATATCTTAAGATTGCTGTGAGTGTAAATGAGTTCTGTGTGTCCAAATCTTGGAACAGTGCCTGGCTGGCATCTGGTAAACACTTACTAAATAACAGTGATTGTTATTTGCTAAAAGTTTGAAAGAATGGTACTCATTTGAATGTGTAGATGGTATTATGCCTAAGAATCAGATTGTTTCTTAATAGTCATAATAGAGAAGAATTAAATATGCTGTGTTTATTTATAGCTCCTTCTCCCTTCCTGTCTCTATATTTGGTTCTTGGATGGCTGCTTTGGTTACTAGTAGGGACCATGATTTTCCCAAGCAGCTGAGAAGTATGAAAAGGGAGGAAGATGCTCTTAGCATGCAAAGATGGGAGATCTACAGGAACAGAACTTTCTATAGCAGTGCTTTGAGCAGGTG